ACAGTACAGGATTGGTTGAAATGGAAGGAAAGGATGAGAAACACATGAAAGAGAACAAATTCCCTGACAGTTCTAGCTGGCTGAGATTTCTGTTTCGTGAATTCTACCTTTTCTCTCACTTTTGTACTTTTTTTCATTCAGTGATGCCTATGCTCTTGTATTGGATGATGTGATAGATGCTGCATGTACCCGACATAGTTTCTGACCTCTGGTTTAGCATTGCCAATTAATAAAATTTTAAGTACATACATTGTGCCTCCCTAAATCTATTGTATGTTTTGGTATAATGGGACCATATTTTTTCTTTGCATTAATTCTTTCAAAAACTGTAGTGAATATCTACATATGATAGCCACTGTTCATATAAAAAAGAAAAGCCATGATATGGTTCTCAAAGAGATCTAGACAAATAGTTACAGTGAAATATGGTAATTATTACCAGCAAACTCCAGTGAGATTAATTTTTAAATTTTCTTGGAGTGTTAAAGACTTCAAAGTCTTTTTTTAAATAAATATTTTAATATGTTTATTGATTTTAGAGAGAGAGGAGAAAAGAGAGAGAGAGGAGCATCAATATGACAGAGAAACATGGATCTGTTGCTTCCCATGTGCTCCCTGATCAGGATCAAAGCTGTTAACTAGGTATGTGCCCTGACTGGGAATCAAACCCTCAACCCTTTGGTATACAGGATGATACTCCAATAGACCCACACTAGTCAGGGTGTGAGAATAATCCTTTCAGCTGAAGCTTAAAGGGCAGAAGTGTTTTGAAGGCACAAAGTGAAGTGTGACCAGCTCAGAAAGATGGAACAGTCTGTGCAAAGGCACAGAGTAGAGGACATGGAGACATGACCCAGAATGCATGTGCTTGGATCCTGCTGAGCGTAGAGTGGATTGAAGGAAAAGAGACTGTGCAAATGGGATGGGTACACATCCATGTATCTATGCAAAGGATCTTACATGGTATGTTATGATTCAGCATGTTGATTAGGCAAGAAATTTTTGGACTTATATGTTAGCCTCCTGTAGCAAAATGGAGAATAGAGGGGAAGAGGGACATGACTACATAGGGGGACTGGAACAGAGGCTATAGCAGACAAGCTGGGGGCAATCAGGAGAAGGAAGGAGGTGGAAGGAGAAAATACAAACAGTAAAGGGAAGATAAACTGGACAGATGTTGGCATTTGGTAGAATGTGAGGGGTAAGATGGAGAGAAGACAAAGATGTTGTCTACCTTGTTCAGAACTGTCTCTCTACCACCTTGAAGAATATCTCAGATAGGTTCCCAGTAAATATTTGTCAAACAAATAAAAAGGACATAAATATCCAGGTAACTCCTGGGTTTCTGCCTGAAGCGGAATGTTTATGTCAGTCCCAAAGAGGGATACAGGAGCGGACGATAACATGTTCATCTGTGAACTGCTGAACATACAGGTGATTCTTAGAAGAATAAAGCATAAGACATACATTATAAGGGTGTGGGGGTAGGAAAGGAAGAAGAGATAATGAAGGAAATACCAAACATGGCTGCAGAAGCACAGGAAGATGATTAGTTCAGGTTAAAATCACAAGTCAAGAGAGACATTTTCCAACTGAAGTATTTGAAAGGGTAATCTGTCTGGCGAGTTCAATGAGAATAGTCTGGAAGAATCAGTCATCAGCTTAGGGAGACTCAGGGAAGAAGAGTATAATCAGTACTTGGGAATGAAGGTCCCTTGCCTTTTTATGTGGATGTGTCAGAAATTAGAGGTTGGCTTACACTTCAAGTTATTGTATAAATTCTGTGGCTTTGTGCATCTTTTAACCTAAGAAAGATACAGGCAGCATATGGAATGGTAATTTTAGTAATGACAACCAGTACGCAGGTCAGAGATTGATGCTACAAAGCAACAAGAACAGTGCCTAACTGTGGAGTTACGACCATTGTTAAAGATAACCTGACTTGGACCATAGTTTCTCATGTAGAATAGATAATTTCAAATTGTGTAGTTAATATTAATCAGTATAGATTTTAAAGGAATATGTTTCTTTAATTAATAGCTTTATGCTACACAAATTGATGAATCACCCCTACATATTACATTATGGGCAATAATTACCTATCTTAATTCACCCCTGTATATGGTCTAATTTAGCTGTTCCCTAAAGATTTTGAGAGGTTGCTCTCAAATATTTGTTTCATAAAAAGCACCTAAGATGCTTGATAAAATTCTATTACTTGAATCAAGATGGCCTGGGCATTAGCATGTTGACAAACACCCTCATGTGATTCTGATACAACGTGAAGAGGTCTTACTTGAAGAAGCATTGCTTTAAAAAGCAATTGTGCTACTTGCATTTTTTAGCTGGTGTTCTTGCTCCCCCAGGTGGTATAATATGTAATTGCACCTTTCAGATTTTCCCGTTTCACTGATTAGAAAATAGAGCCCCACAATTTATTTACCTGTTTAACCTTCATTTAACCACATCAACCTACAAATGCCAAGTGCAGAATTAGTATTCATATCCATACATACAAGTAAAACAACTATATAAAACCAAAAAAGTCACATGTAAAATTGTACAATTTAGTCTTCTTCTTCTTCATGTATTGACAATTTTGAAGCAGTATTTAGTAGAAGAGTACTGAAAAGCTATTTGGTAGCAGCATTTTCATGGACCAAGTGTTTATGCTTTGCTTGGGTTCTCTCTCTGTGAATCATTCAGGATTTAGAAGATATATTTTAAAACAAGAAGGACTCAGGGTGTGTAATGTTCATTTGAATTTCATTCTTTTTGCTAATGGAAAGGGTGTAATTGATACGCATATGATGCAGTGTGTGAGAATTAGAGAGTGAGGGGCTGGGAATGCTTCCTTTCTTCCCTTCTTCCCTCCCTGACTTCTGGCAGTCATTCAACAGATTATTTACGAAAACCACTCGGGAGGAGCTTTGTGTGTGATGTACTGATAACTGGGACACTGTTTTCATAAAGGGGAGAGACATCTAGCCAGTCAAAGCCTGGCATAAAGGGTCCATGGCCTAGGTGCAGGGCAGGCCACCAAGACTCCGAAGAGGGAGAGATTGACCAAAGGGGTGGGGGCAGGGTAGTGACCGGGGAGATCCGAGTGGAGATGGCATCGAACTGGAACCCCTGATAATGGCTACTTTTTAAGTACCTTCATGCAACTGTGTTGCCGATTTATGTCATACAGTGATCTGTTCTTTAAAATACCTTTTTTTTTCAATTATCTGCTCTTATTTTGGTTCTTCATTCAGTCAACACTGATTGCATGTCGGGCAGTGGCTCAGTGTGGGCAGATAAGGTCAAATGGGGACAACTGGTCTCTGTCCACACAGATCTCCCAGTCTCCTAGTGAAGGCAGGTAGGAAACAGCAATCTAAAACAGATCAAGGAGTTATAAACTAAGGTAAGAGCTTAGGGGACATAAGTTGAGGTGGGGAATAATTTGGATGGGGTGGGATAAGACCTACTACTTCTGTGAAGGGGGCTGGGAAGGTCTCCTGGAGCAGACACAAACTGCTGTGTTCACTGAGCTCAAGGGCTGTCCATGTATTACGTTATTCCTCACAACCCTACTAAGGAATGTACCATTATTGTGCCCACTTGACAGGAAAGGAAACTGAGGTTCAGCGACATAAAGTAACTTAACAGATACTTTGTGAGTTGTGGAAACTGGATTTAAGTCTACACTGCCAGGCCCCAGAGCCTGCTCCAGTGACCGCTCTGATGGCCATGCCCTGTCTAGGCAGAGGGCAGAGTGTGCTCAAAGTCTTGGAGACAGGAAAGCTCCGGGTACCTGAGGGACTGAGGCTGATGTAGGACAGGGGCACAGAGATGGTGGGAGTGGCCTGGTCAAGGTCAGAGACAAGGCAGAGGGCAGAGGCCCTGTGAAGACGTGGTAAGGAGGTTTGGATTTCATTCTGAGTCCAGTGGGAAGTCAGGCGGGATTTAAGCAAGGTTCAAATATGATGAAATGCCTTTTAAAGACGTGACTCTTGCTCCAACTTGGAGAATGGGTTGCAGGCAGGAAAGGCAGTAAGAAGACCAGCTAGGAGGAGGTCACAGGGTTTCCACAGCAGAGATGGGGAAGGGATCTGAACAGGTTTTAGAGGTACAATGAATAGCACCTCCCACGATCAAGTGTCCCCATCCTCACAGAGGTGGTGGGGGACTGGCACATTCTACTTCACTGGGGGCGTGGGCTACTTTCAGACATGAGTTAATGCAGAAACCAATGTACAGTATTAGGAGAGCACTGAGGGAGTTGAAAAGAACAGACTGTTATTTCTCCCAGCACAACAGAACTGCTGATGGTTGAGAAAAAGGTCTTTTTCCAGTGTATTATGTTAATTTCACAGGTGAGGACACTGAGCTCAGAGAAGGTAAGTGATTAATTGCCTAACTAGTTAGTTGTCCACTGGGGAGTAAAATGCATGTGCTTTTCCTTGATCCCACACATGCATAAGTGATTTGTCCTTAAGACCGACAACTTTAACTTATTAGGTGACTTCCCACCAGTTCGAGGGCACTGGAGTACTTGCATACAGGCCAGATACTCTCTTGATTTCTTACTCCTTTCATTTGGTGTTGTTTTCTTTGATGGCAGCCATTTCCATTTCATAACACATGGTAAAATGCCGTTCCTATGAGAATTTCCCTTCTCTCCTTACACATGAAACAAAGAAACAGAGAAAAGGACGTCAATCAGCTCACTTCTCAGGTGACTTGGTTACCATCTCTGACCTCATGTTTGCAGACAGGAATTCTTGCCTTTGATTAGAAGAGGTAGCCCTGATGTGAACAAGGTTACAGAAAGGGTCAGGGAATTGCTGAACACCTGGGACTATAAGGAACATGCTCGAGGCAGAAAATAGGAGGAGGCATTTGCCTCTGAGCAAATGTCTCCTTTATCCACAGCCAGGGAGATTGTCCATGAAGAATCTCCAAATCACTCTTGAAGGAGCTAAGCAAGTGCTAGAGGGTCCAATTAATCTTACCATGGCCCTTCTGTCCAGTGAAAAGTATCAAGTTATTTTGCAGCGCTGAGTGATTGTTTGCTAGCTGAAAATTTAAGTGGAATTCATAATCGAAGCTGATGTCTGGGATCCGTGAATAAGCCAGGAATGAGGTGTGTCCAAAGGCATCCATGCCACTGAACCTGGGCTGAGTAATATCAATAGCTGTGGAAAAACCGAAACCCAAATGTTAAAATAAACCTGTACATGTTCTTGTTAAAAGGAGGGTTATAGTTTGCTGGTGCATCTGGCCTGATAGTTTGTTTACTATCACATTAATTATACTTAAGTGTCCTTAGCATTCAGCAATTAAGTGACTCAACAGGGATTTCAAAACCAGAACCAAGGAAGTACAGTGTTTTGAGATCTTGTGTATATACCCTTTCATTCACATATCCTTTCTACATAATAGAGAGTTTACTTAAAAAGCAAAACCTTATATTCTGAAGATTAATTTTAGAAGTAGAAAAGGTTACTGGTAGACAAAAGTATTTACCCAGGTGCTTTGTAAACAAAATTTGGCATCCGAACACTAGCTATGACTTAGAAAAGAATTCACAGCTTGGAACAAACTGTGTTTCTAATCCTGCCCCTTTTTAGTAGCTAAAGCCATTGGTCAGAGGTAGGAAAGCCAAGAAATGAAAAGGGAGTTTGATCAGTTTCTATTACTCTATGGTGAATGACCGGACCTTTTCTTGAAGTAAAAAACCATTGTCTAAAAGAAAAGTTTATACTTCTGGTCAAGATGGTGGCATAGACAGACATGGCTCACTTCTTCACACAGCCACATTAAAATTACAACTAAATTATAGAATAATCATCATTCAGAACCATCAGAAATTGAGTTTAATGGAAGTCCGACAACTATGGAATTAAAGAAACCACATCCATCCAGACTAGTAGGAGGGGAATAGATGCAGAACAGGCTGATCCCATACCCACGTGTGGTGGATAAAAATTCAGGAGGGATATATTGGGAGTGAGAAGTCCCAGCCCCATACTATCCCAGGGTTCCAGTGCCAGGAAGATAAGTCCCCAAAACTTCTGGCTGCAAAAACTAGTAGGGATTGAGTTGGTGGAAGAAACTTTTGGAGCCCCAAGCATTTCCTCTTAAAGAACCCACGCCCAGACTCACCTACTCAGCCTCACTACCTCTGAGCTCTAGCACCAGGGTAGCACCTTGAAAGGGAACAGTGGCATACAGGGATAAATTAAAATATTTGGCATCAAGGTGAGCAGAGACCATTATTGTCCCTTCTATGAACCCTCCCCCAACAGAGCCAAAGATCCGGCAAGCTGGTGCCTTATCAGAGATTCTATCAACTTAACACTATTAGATCCACCTTGGACATCGCCAGAGACTTGGGCTCACCCAAGCTCTTTTCCATATGAATGGCTGGTCTTGGCTCATGCTTCACAACTTCCTAAATCTTATCAAATAAGCAACAGCTGGCCTCAGGGAGCCCCAGGCCTGGTATTAGCAGCAGCCAGCCTAGATCCACAGCCTGGCTTTGCTTGGAAATTTCCAAGCCCAGCACAAGCAGCAGCCATCTCAGATTACTTCATAGCTCAGGCAAGGTAGCCCTGAGCAAAACACTGGTGGGCGCTGGCCTTGGCCTGCACCACCTGGGAAACTCCAGGGTCAGTGCACCAAGTAGACAGCAACAGACCGTATCGGAGCACCACCACCCTGCCATTGCACAACTGATACTCCATGGTGGTGGTTGGTGGTCAATTGTTGGTGGTCAGTGGTCACAGGCAGTCCTTGCAGCTGACTGGCCTGGGTAAATCTCTCCCATTGACATGACAACAGCAAGGTGGGGGTGGGTGGGGCAGGGGTAAAATGGAGACAACTGTACTTGAACAACAATAAAAAATATGAAAGGAAATGGATAAAGAGCTTAAAAAGAAAAGATCAAAACTATGAACAATAAAATGGCAAAAAATACATATCTATTAATAATTGAATCTAAAAAACAAACTATACAAACAAGAACAGACACAGAATCATGGATACAGAGAGTGTTTTGATGGTTGCCAGATGCAAAGAGGGGGTGAGGGAATGGGTGAAGAGGTGAGGGGATTAAGAAGTACAAGTAGGTAGTTACAGAATTGCCATGGGGATATAAAGTACAGGATAGCAAACAGAGTAGCCAAAGAACTTATACCATACCCATGATTCATGGACATGAACAATGGTGTGGGGATTGCCTGAGGGAGTGGGGGGTGCTGTGTGGAGGGGGGCAAAGGGGGAAAAATCAGAACAACTGTAATAGCATAATCAATAAAATATAGTTAAAAATAAAAGAAATATTCATCTCTACTCTGTTGAGATGTTTGTTAGATCATGAAGCACTGTTTCAATAGGTCTGAAACCCTAAGGAGCTTTCTTAGTAACAAAGTGGTAAAAAATGAAGCTCAGGGACCAGTGTGGATATTTAATCAATCTCTTTCAAAATCAATAAGTTTTGTTTCACTTATTTATGCATTCATTGGTTGATTCTTGTATGTGCCCTGACTGGGGATTGGACTCACAACTTGGCATATCCAGACAATGCTGAGATCAACTGAACTGCCTAGCCAGGGCAAGTCCTTTATCTAATCATGGATCCAGATTTTCTCTTTTCATTGTTGTTCCTTCATAAATAGTTCCAACTGGCTTGTATTTCCCCATGCCAAAAGGACCACAGGAAATGGGAAGGGGATTTTGATCCCCATTCCTGTCTGTTATGAATTGTATTCCCAGATTAAAGGATATTTCTAGGGTCTATTTTCATTGGTTCAAGACAGTTTGCCAGAGGAAAGAAGAACTTGTCTCAATAACCTTTATTGCTCCTTTCTTAAGAGATATTGGCTCTCTTTGGAAGTTGTAAAACTAGAATTTTTACAAGCCTTAAGAAATACCCTCATTGTGGTATCTAACACTTGAAACAAAAGAGCTTCTTGTCTGGCTACAATTGTTTATATAGCAAATAATTGTGCTCTCCTGGGAAAAATGATTCTAGTTATCAGAAGCTCTTTTTCTGTTTGTTTCATATTCAAGTAGGGTAATTGTTTAGAATTAGTTAATCCTTCATTTTAATATTTAATTAAAATCACATCAGTTTATTCTTTGGGATATGTGGCCTAAGATAATTTTTTTCTCGTATCTCACCAAAATCTGAAGTGGGATGTTGAGACCTATCACCTTTTATATTTAGTTTTTATTGTTGTTCAGTTACAGTTGTCCCCATCCCCCCCCATTTCTCTCTCCTGCCCTGCCCACCTGCCACATTCAGTCCTCCCCACCATTGTCTGTGTCCATGGTTCCTTTATACACATGTTCCTTGACTCGACCCTTTCCCTTCTGTATTTATTTTTTATCTAATGAAGTAAATTATGGTTTGTTGCCAGAGATAAGATGACTCTTTCCATCAAGTACTCCACATTTAGTTGTTCAGGGAAATGAAATGTATTGCAATTGAAACAAAATAAAAATACCAACAGTGTTTATTTTTTTTTTTAAGATTTTATTTATTTATTTTTAGGGAGGGAAGGGAGAGACAGAGACAGACAGAGAGAGAGAGAGAGAGAGAGAGAGAGAGAGAGAGAGAGAGAGAGAGAGACAAACTTCAATGTGCGGTTGCTGGGGGCCATGGCCCACAACCCAGGAATGTACCCTGGCTGGGAATTGAACCTGGGACACTTTGGTTCCCAGCCCGCGCTCAATCCACTGAGCTATGCCAGCCAGGGCCCAACAGTGTTTTAATGTTGGCATTAAAAACAGTGAAAATAGAACTCAATTACATTTACTTTTTAAAATTTTTTGTGGGTTTTATTTTATTTTATTATTTTTTTATTGTTGTTCAAGTACAGTTGTCTCCATATTTTTCCCCCTCCATAACTCCCCTGCCTTACCCACCCCCACCTCCCACCCTGGATCCCACCCTCTTTGACTTTGTCCACGTGTCCTTTATTCAGGTTCCTTGATGGCCCTTCCCCTATTTTCCCCTATTATCTGTCTCCCCCCTGCTCTCTGGTTACTGCCAGTTTGTTCTTTATTTCAATGTCTCCGGTTATATTTTGCTTGCTTTTTGGTTTTATTGGTTAGGTTCCACTTATAGGTGAGATCATATGGTGTTTGTTGTTCACCACTTGGCTTACTTCACTTAGCATAATGCTCTTCAGTTCCATCCATGTTGTCCTTAAGGGTAGGAGCTCCTTCTTTCTGTTGTGTAGTATTCCATTGTGTAAATGTACCACAGTTTTTTGATCCACTCATTTACTGATGGGCACCTAGGTTGCTTTCAGAACTTGGCTATTATAAATTGTGCTGCTATGAACATTGGAGTGCGTAGGTTCTTTTGAATTAGTGGTGGAAAACAGTATGGAATTTCCTCAGAAAACTAAAAACGGAACTGCCTTTTGACCCGGCAATTCCAGTGCTGGGATTATACCCTAAGAATCAATTAAGTTTAATACTAACATAGAGGAATGACTTAAAACATTCCTTCCTGTTAATAATTTACAACTGAGTCTGTTCAAAGTTTAGTACATTTAGGTTATGTCAACAAATATGTCATACGCATTTCATCATCAGACCCTGTGCTAGATGCTGGTGACACAAAGATAACAAAGCATGATCCCTGTCCCCAAGGAACTAGTGTGTGGTCAATAAATTCACTCAACAGAACTGGACTGAAAACTGAGGCTTGGCTGAAAGATGAAAGGAAAAACCATTTCAGGTAGAAAGAACAGCACATTCTAAGGTGGGGAGGCCAAAACAGCATGTCATATACTCAGAGAACTCATGGAGTTTGCACATTGTAGAGTGAAATATTAAAAGGAAGAGTACAGCAAATGAAACAAGATAGTCAGACGAGGTCAAAATCTGAAGGGCTTTATCTTTTCTACATCATCTTTGAGTGGTTGGGCAATGATTGAAGTTGCCTTTTAGAAATATCTGGTGATGAAATGTGAAGTTCAGATTAGACAGAGAGAGCTGGAGGGCTACCCTTTGGTCAACATGAAAATGAGGACTTTGATGATATCAAGAAATAGAACAAGGAGTTAAGGTTATACTAAACTGTGAATGTAAGAAAATTTAAGGGTAACTCATTAAAAAGGGTAATGGTGTGATATTTATCTGAATAATTAAACAGTTTTCAGTGCTAACATCCAATCAG